GTGACACCTATTCAGTCTTGCTTTGCTTTCCTCATTCTATTCTGTAAACTCTATCTATTTTTTGTTGACTTGTTATTAAAAATACTGGAAGAATGAAAGGAAGAGTCTTCGAACGAAGATAGACAGAAGGAGAAAAGACTTTTGCTTCATATATGCCCATTTGTGTTAACCCCTCTCCCTACAGTAACACTCCTGAATCATTCATTAAGATCATGAGAATAAAGGAAATGATCACCCACCGGTATGAAGCTTTGATCACTAAACAAATTCTTCCTATGGGTACAATAGGATATATATATATATATATATAGAGCAGTATGGAGAACTTACATATTGATGTTAGGGTGTAAAGACTTAACGGAGTCATGTCACGTACTGCTAGGACTGTGCAAAGTATTCATAAAGTGAGCTATTCAGGGGTTTTGTGGAATTCGAACTCGCGACTTTGAGATAACATCGTATTACTCTTTACCGTTAAAACAACGAAACCATCAAGCTATGTAAAACAGAACCCGCGTGGATCGATGACGTTTTAATTTTCCGTTAAATTAAAAGATTTATTTCAGTCAGTAGCATGGGTGCAAAGTTAAACGAGTTGAATTTCGTGACAGTAGAGACGCTGGCAACACAAGCCTTTCAATTTCACAGGGGCTTCATAGATTGAGATTTCTTTTCAACAATTTTGGTGTCGCAACATTCACATCTTCGCCCGCTCTATGGATGACTCTTAGTAAAGTGTTGGCAACTTGATATAGTTCATAGGTATATTCTTTAGTGAAAATTGTTCAGATACATTTAGAAATATGTGTCTTATAGGCGAAATATTTAAACAATTTCTCCATATGTAATTATTTGAATAGCAGGGAGAAACAGAAGCAATAAGCTCCCCCTTTGAAATCACCGCATGAACGGCTAGTTAGCAAACTACAATTTCGAAATGAGCATAGCGACACCTTTTTTGTCATCGACCAATTATCGTGGGCTTTGTCACAGTTAGTCCAGTAGATAGTTGCTAAGCGAGATAAGGCAAATTGTCGGCAAAAATCTAATTTTCAACTTTTAATGACAATAAAGCAGCAGTCATATTAGTGCAGGAAGATGGTGGCCCCATGATTACCGAACGGGACTCGAAAGGTGCTGGTTTGAGTCCCGTCTGGGTCACTACGCCGTGTTCTAGAGTAAAATATTTCACACTTACGGTGCCCCTCCCCGTTCAGGAATTAGAAATGGGTATCAGCACCCCATCCAAGTGAATACACCTGCTATAAGTTACTTGACGCTACAACAAAAAGAACTGTTGGAAAAAGTTGATACAGCACTCGATTTAAATTTATTTTAAGCCTGTAAAGGGATCCAAGTCAGGTAGATTATCTTATCCATAGCATGCCAGAGAATTCCTCTGTCATCCACAGTCCTTAATCAGGATTTCAAGAGCCATCCAACTTGATATTGTAGTCCAGATAAGTGATCAAATCTTAGAAGCAATGTGGTATGCGTTGTGCACTGGAAAAACTTGGCCAGAATATGATTACCTGTGCAGTCCGTGCTAATCCTGCGCATCTTTGTTTAACATCATTTCCTGAACAGTTTATTTTCGTGCGTTTAGGTTTTTATTCCCTATAAAGCTATTACTGTTACTGACCATTTTGATGAAGGAAAATTTAAACGGAAAAATGACTCACGATATTTTTATGTCCAGTCTTATGTTAAGTGACGTACATTTGATAAGTTAACCTTAGCAGTTTTCCCATCTAGAGGCATATATTGGATCCAGCGAACACCACAATCTGTGGTGATTAACACTGCTGCAGCAATTGTACGTCACGCCATTGTACTGGAAGGGAATGGCGCAGTACT